GACTGGACTGAAAAAATCTCGCAAAGATGCATCAATGGTTGATGAATGGAGCTGCTCCTTAAAAAGTCTGACACAAGACGTCTTCTCCCAAGGCGCCCATGTTGTGGTCTGGCACGTTGAGCCTACACTCCCCGAGTCTTTCCAAGAGAGAATTTGGAGCGGATGAGTAAGTCTGACGTGGGAATCCATTGTCTATGTTTTCTGTTTTGTGCACTCTTCATCTGTACTTAACACCCTTTTTTTGAATGGAGCTGCTCCTTAAAAAGTCTGACACAAGACGTCTTCTCCCAAGGCGCCCATGTTGTGGTCTGGCACGTTGAGCCTACACTCCCCGAGTCTTTCCAAGAGAGAATTTGGAGCGGATGAGTAAGTCTGACGTGGGAATCCATTGTCTATGTTTTCTGTTTTGTGCACTCTTCATCTGTACTTAACACCCTTTTTTTTGTCGCCCCCAAGTAAAGACTGGACTGAAAAAATCTTGCAAAGATGCATCAATGGTTAATGAATGGAGCTGCTCCTTAAAAAGTCTGACACAAGACGTCTTCTCCCAAGGCGCCCATGTTGTGGTCTGGCACGTTGAGCCTACACTCCCCGAGTCTTTCCAAGAGAGAATTTGGAGCGGATGAGTAAGTCTGACGTGGGAATCCATTGTCTATGTTTTCTGTTTTGTGCACTCTTCATCTGTACTTAACACCCTTTTTTTTGTCGCCCCCTTTAAACTCTTACCAATGATAGCACTGAGGTTGTTGGCATCAAATTTTTGGTTAAAGCTACGGTCTGAGCATTTCATACCTAACATTTTCTGATCAGGGATGGGAGAGATGACAGCTGAGTTCTGACGCTGCTGACGGCTGTGTGTGTCCTGTTTCCATCCTCCCCAGGCTGTGCTGGAGGATAGTGGCCATCAGCTGCTCAGGTCCTACTTCTTCCAGCTCCTCCGCAGGCCTGCTTGGGCACCTCTTGTCCCTGATCACCTAAGGAAAGATGAAGCTTGTTCCCACAAACTGCCTCCTATATAGGTACAGAGGGACCCTAAACGCTCAGCTGTATTGGAAATACCTTTCCCGTAAAGTAGTCTCAGCTGGCAGGAGACACAGCTGTGAGAACTTACTCAACTCAACCTATTGCTAATGCAGTCCTTTATGAAAAGTATATTGAATGACATTTCTGTTCTACTTATTTAAATCAGTTGCCTCAGCTACAAATATTATTAAATATTTGCATGATTTCAAGAGCTTGTATTTTTAAATTACTTTCTTGTAAACAGATGGAAATGCAGGTGGCAAAACATAGGTTGGAAAAGAATGAGTAGGTCTCAGTGCTTCAATAGAGATGGTCATTTTAAGTGAACACATTATTTTTTTGATCCAATACCTGCTATTTCTTTGCAGCCCACAAGCGACTCTGAAATAAACTCTGACAGGCAATCTCGTACTTGGATATAGCACAGAAATCTATGGGGAAAATTCAGCAGCTCCTGACCACGCTGACTTCCTCAACAGCTGACTTCCCACCTGACTCCTGGGAGGAGATGGTGGCAGAATTAGCTGTTGTCAGTCTCGCTAACAGTTTGTGAAGCGTGTGCTCAGAAAATGGAAGCATCAGTATGGCTGGTATCTGCTGTAGCAGCTCTCCTGCATCACTGAAAGAGGTCAGAGTTAAATTTTGCTGCTTGTCTTTGTGGAAAAGAATGCTTTACAGCCCAAGAGCTAGGGTGGCACCCACTGCATGAAATAAGGGATGCATCACATTGAAGGAGCAAATACCAGAACTGACCCTGAAAGGGAAGCACTGCATGAAAACATCATTTGACTGCCCCTCTACAAAAAGAGGTAGAAAGCTCCTGACATATAGTCCAAGTCATAGGGAGTTTGGAGATGGGTTTTGACACCAACAAGAGAAAGGCTGCAAGTCCAAACCCCCAAAGGCAATTGACCCCAGCTCGTGCTTTGCCTTCTAGAGAGGTTTTCTTGTAGAATGTGGTGCTGTGGGAACTACAGCTGCCATCCGAGTCTTTAGCGAGGAGGACATTATACAAAGACTACATGCAGCCTTGGCTTGCAGGGACTCTGATTTGAGGAAAGGAACAGCTGGCTGCTTGGGCTGTCAGGCAAACAACAGAAGACAGAGGTCTTCACCATAGATAAACTAGTGTTAGACTGTGAAACAAAACATTTAGTGCACAGGCCAAAAATAGCAGTGTGTATATAAATTAATTTTGTCAGTGTTTTTAGAGTATCTTTGACTACAATTCTGTTGGTTCCTCTCAGCCATTTTTCAGCTGGTGTTTCTTTGAAGTTATGTTGCTTGTGCCTTACGTGCACCCTCACCGAGAGCTTCCCACGTGCTACAACAGCAGGACTTTGCCTTTGGAGGGTGAACTGGAAGTCAGCAGTAAAATAGCAGCTTTCACTTGAAGAATCCCAGCAGTATTTAACAGCAAGGGAAAGACTATATTCATTTCAGGGGTCAGCTGAAGTATTAGTGCTTAATCGTTTTACTCTTACAAATCACCTGGATAAGGACTCGGTGTTCTGCACACTCAGCTCCAGATACTTCAGGGGCAGTGTTCCCTGATGAGGCAGCCAGGAATAAATGAGGAAGGCAGGCTTCCCACAAACTACTTCCATGGCAGGTTGGAGGTCGCACCCTGTCTTGGACAGGGGCTGATAAGGGAAGAAATATGAATGTGTCTAGAAGAGGGGGCTCAGCCCCTCTGGCACACTGGGCACCAGTCCTTTAGGGGCTGCCCGAGGCAAACCTTGTATCCTGCTCGCTTTGTTTAACAACTACTGAGGGGTCCATCTTCCATGACTAGCATTACCTTTTCTTTAGAACCCAGTTATTCCTCTAGCCTTCACAATGTCCTCTGTTGGTGAGTGCCACAACTTAATTATACATTATGTCTATAAGAACTTGCTTTTTGTGTATGTTAAAGTATTTTCTTGCTGCTACTCGGTCTTTGAAAGAAAACAAATCTTTAGTGCTAGAAACACTCTTAATAAGATGTTGAGATTGCTCCATATGGAAAACATGTTTTCCCCATTAGTAAAGTACCTTTCTTTGGCTATTTTACAAAGGAAAAAACTTTACACGTGCAGATGACTCGTATTCCCATACATAATTGTGTGGGGCGCATTAAATGAAATAACATGTTTAAGTTTTTATGTCACTGGATTTTACTGTCCTGTTTTACTTCAGTATTTTGATGCTTCCTGTTTTATTTGTTCTGTAACTCTGTACATGACAGTTTAGCACAAACCAGGGATCTGAATCTCACAACCTCATTGTATGTACACATTTTTGTAGAGAAATGAGACATCAGTTATATGCCCCTCCTGCCCCCAACTCCCTCCTGTTAGGGCTGAATGGCAGAACTATTCTATGCTATTGAAAGCCTTTAAAAAGAAAAAAATCTATGCATGCTATTTTATATTCTAATGTATTATTCATATCAGTACATAAGCTTATGCTTGTCAGTTTTATCTTGTGTATAGAACTGATTACTTTTGACAGTATTTTTGCACTGTTTTGTTTCTTTCTCTTTTTATAAAGGTCTATTCAGCATTAATTGACTGCAATAATTTTTTACCCCTTTCACTGCCTTTATGTAAATAGTTTCTTATATGCTTTTGCAAATATGAGAATGTCTTCAGTCACAAAGGTTTTTTTGGTAAGGCTGTCCTTCATATTCACATTATACAATAAACCTTTTTTTTTTTTTTTTCAAGGAAAACTATGCTTGTGTGTTTTTCTGTACCAGCTGAAGGTTTTGTATTATGGTTGTGTTAGTTTCCCATGTTAAAAGGATAAGCACAGTGAGCTGTGAAGAACCTTCTGTAACCAGTAAACCCCTGTGAAACATGGAAAGGATCCTACTGGGGCTCAGGCTCAGCTAATCTGACTCTTTAGCCCTGGAAGCATAGTCTGGGCTCTGGACAGACCTTCTGAAGTTGAGGTGCTATTTCCCTGGACAAGGGTTTACTTGACAAAGTTAGGACACAAATAGTCAGCTGGTGCTGTCTCCCTAGGCTTGGCTGTAGTTAAGTGGCCTTGGCTTTCTGGAATCGTAAGCTCTGGCGCAGTTTCATGTACAGTTTTTTGTACTCCAGCAACAATTGCTGGCTGGAGAGCAATGAAAGCTTCCAGCAAAATGAGCTGAGAAACCCTTGTTCTCTAGCAGTTTTATTTTCAGAGCAGCACTTATAAGAAAGAAAATATGATGAAGTTCTTAATGGTGATGTGTTTTCTCTCTCTCATCATACTTTATAAGCTGTGAAAGCAGTAAGGAAGTTTTACTGTTCAATACATTTCAGCTTTGGTGCTGGAAATACACAGCCACACTCTCCCTCCTCTTCCTTCCCCATCCTTAAAAGCAATCTCCCGCCATTGATCTAAATGGAGGGAAAACCACCCTCTGGTCTGTCTTACATATGGGCAGAGAAAGCCCAATCCTGGATTTTTCCCTCAGAAAATGTTCTTGTTCCTCTGTTAAAAGTAATTGCTAATGTATTAATAGAATAGTTTTAATCCACTGGAGGCAAAGGTATGGCTGTAAGGAAATATGAGGTCTCCTCTGCAATGAATTCCCTTTAACTTATAAAGGGGATTAAAAAGCCCAAAGTTGCATGGTTCACGCCTTGTGCCAGCATTTGAGCTCCCAGGGAGGTGCCAGCGGTGTCTGTACAAGACATGCTGAGCTCCAGGTCCTTACAGTGACAAATCCCCACCTGCCAGGGTGGCGATGGCCCCGCAGATTCACTGACTGAGAGAACAGCGGTGGCTTTCCTGCAGGATGCGCAGAATTCATCACCCCCATTTCCCCTTTCTCTCCGTTAAGCCACTGCAAACAAAAATGATTTGTGAAATGAGGAACTGGATACTAAACCACAACAAAAAGAGTACAGTTTTTGCTAATTCATGTCAGATTAAATTAAATGACTGACTTAAGCAAAATAGATGTCACAAAACTATTGCACCTATGTAGCATACAACTGAAATCAAGAGGGGTCAAGACCACTTTATTTACTTTAGACAAATAAGTTACACATTAAAATCTGTAAAGAAAAAAATGGCCACTTTTGCACGTGAGCTGTCAAAAGGCATAACCTTTAAGAAACCATGGATGCTTCCTTAAAAAAAAAAAAAAAATCATTTGTAGACGTGTGGAAGCTAGGAACATTTTGCAAGGCCTAAGTGTGTTTGTCATTCCAATTATAGGACAGAACTGTGTTCATACCCTCCGCTTTTCAAAGCACTCCTGAAGGTTTCCATAACAAGGCTTTTTAAATAAAAGTTTGAAGGATTGCATAGATTCAAAGGCTCAGTGGTCCTCTAATTCCTTTTTGATCTCTGAAATGTATGGATGATCTTTCCCGTGTGCTACTTCCATGATAGCAATTGCCTATGAAAAGAAAAAAAATATTCACACAATTGATTCATATATAACACCAGGCTATAAATACTCTCTTTAGAGGTTTGAAACAGTCTGACACCTCTAGCTACTTTTTGTCCCCTTGTAGTCATAAACCCAGTAGGAAATAAAATGAAATTCAAAACTAAGTAATAAAGGTTTTACATTCAGAGAATACATCTTTCATCTTAAAGGATCCCAAAGCACCTTTCAAAATGATATTCCTGACAAAACTACTTTGAATGCAACCAGCTCCAGGACAGAAAACTGCAAGTGGGGTGGGTAATATTCTGGCAGAGGACTTAACCAGTATCAGAGTGCGCTGTGTTCCTACCAATTTATCCTTCAGCTGTCAGACTGACGAGCAGGCTGATTGCAGAAGTTACACTAAGGCATTTCAGACTTGATTCTGTAAACCCTCCACTGGTTCCAGGGGCTACCAATGCTTTACGAAGGCAGCAGCTGCTTAGACAAAAACGAGATCTTGCCAGATGCAGACAGACACTGCTGTGCCCGATTCCCTGCCGTTGCACCCACAGCCTGCTCTGGTCAACATTTCATGCAGCCAAACCCACTGACTTGCACATTCCTGCCAGCAGCCACGCTGCACTGCCGAGCGGGTGTAGAGGCAAGATTTCCACTTGAGAAAAGGCTAGCAGTGGCTCCAAACAGACGTAATAAAAGGCAGCAGCAGACAGGACTGAAAGCAGGAAGTTCAAAGTCCAAGAATATTTAAAGACCACAGTGCTAAGATACAGCAAGAATTGCAGGACCCTAGCCATCAGAGCATTTAGTCATTTTCTCCTCAGGAAAGTTCTATGGAATTATGCTCTTATATTTGTTAGGTCAGTATGACAAGAGCCCTTGGTTCCACCTCAGCAGCAGTGAGAAACGACTCTGTTCCCCCGCCTGCCCAAAAGAAGGAAGGAGGGCCTTCTGGATGAGCTGCTTGCAAACTGACAGAGAACAATGGTTTTGTTTTTCCACTAAATCCCAAACATCAGGGACTGGGATAACTTTGGGCAGTTCCTGTAGGCAGCTTTTGGAAGCAAGTCATTAGAGAATGTTTGTGTTAGGAAGCTAACTATGCCAACAAATCTACCTACAGTTCCCAACCCCCCATCCCATGTTCCTACTGGCACAAATCCCAGTTTTAGTCAAAGCTTTAACACCACAGCGAAGGAAAACCTATGCTAATTTTAAACTAGGTAACAGTTAAATTTTAGAGCATATATTTTGTAGTATCTTTCACCATGGCTGGATGGCTCTGTTATTGCTGGCTAAAAACTTGCCAGTATCTAAAAAAAAAAATTAAAAAAAAAAAATCGTGACATTCCACACTAAGTCATTATATGCTACAGTAGTCACTGATGCTTAAGAAACTAAACTTCTGTCCAACAACAATAGGGGAAGAAAGTCAAGAAACATGGTACGGACTAATTAAAAAAACTGGAGAATAAAAACCTAAAGAATAAGGAACAGACTAATAAAAAGAGGTGAAGAAAAATGTAAAACCAAATGCTGTATTTGCCAATTTCAGCATTACCAGATGCATTGAATTCCCGTCAGCTATTTAAAAATCAGTTGGTTCCAGAACAAATAACCACCAAAAGCATGCCTAGTTTAACTTGGATATAGAAATCACAGACTTCAATGAAACACTATGTGCCTTTGATAAGAGCCAAGCATTTTTTCTGTCCTTACCTAGTAAGCGAGGATAAGCTAGAGTTCTGCTTCATTTACACTAGTACAGCTCTAGCTCAGTGAAGAATGTATAGCAAATGTTTCAGCATAATGCTCACTCCAGCTGCGGCAGTGGAAGTTGACCGTGAAAAGGTAAGACCCCTTGTATGTGAAAACAGACCTGTACTGCATCTTTGGAAAAAATCAAAAGGGAGCCAAAAATTCAGTAACCAAATATATTAACGCATGGGGCATTTCCTACCAAGCCAGGCTTACTGACAGAGAAGCACGTAGCATGTCAATGATCCCATGCCTGAACTGGCATTATTAATGAAGAAACTAGAAAATAATTACCCTCTTCAGGGCTTTAACTCCAGCCGTTCTGTTCTCCAGTGCCACATACAGTCTCCCTAACTTCAGCCACATGGAGGCAACATTCAGTGAGTAGGAAGGATAATGTTTACTGCAAGAGAGAAAGAAATTCAGCTTTATCAAACCTGGCAGTTTCACAGAATTTTCCCAGCCGCTGACCCCCTCTCAGGGGGCAAGAAGCTGCCTCTCACTGCCCCTGCCCATTCACCGCTCATCCCCTCTGCCATGACTGCCAAGAGTCAGTGCCAATTGTGTCTGGGACAGGGATGCCTGTCAGTTGGGAATTGAACTGAAACCACCATATGCCTCTGAACAGCTGTCAGATGGCAATGACTTTCTGCCCCAAGTTTTAATCTAGCCAGCTACAGAAAGAGACTGCATTGTTACAAGTTTTTGGAGCAACCCTACACCCGCAGAAGTAACTCGGCCTATTCCACAATAGTTGGTCTTTAATGGAAAGCGAGGGGCCCTCAGCAGCGCGTACAGCACACATGCCATTCTGTACCCGCACACACTGAGCTAGCAGAAGCCGGTGCAGCAGAGCTGACCTGGAATGCCAGGCTCGGAGCCAGAGGAGCTGGGCAAGTCCCAGGGAAGATAAATAGCACTGAGCCCCCAGGGGGGGAATGTTGGCTCCTTCTTTGTACCGCTGCTCTCTGCCAAGTGATCTGTGACTTCACATTGGCATCTGCTCCAAAGGGAGAGCTTTACTTGCGCTCCCCCCAGCTGGCAAGAAAGTCACATCTCAAGATGAGAATCTGCTTGGGAGACCCATGGCAGGATCAGATACAGCACATAACTGGCTGGCTCTAGTGAACGAGATCACTACTGTAAAAACACAGAAAAATTTATCAGATAGTATTAATTCTTTCCTGCAGAGGCTGGGTGCTGCCTTGCCCCACATGGGGCTTCAGCCTGCCCGTTCTCCCATGCCTCTAGCTCCAGGGCAGTGGAGGTGAGGGACATCAGGGCAGCGGAGGTGAGGGACATCAGGGCAGCGGAGGTGAGGGACATCAGGGCAGCGGAGGTGAGGGACATCAGGGCACCTACAGCCTCTGAGCGAGCTCAGGAGCTGAGCTCGGCTCCAGCTCCCTCTGCTGCTCAGCCCCAGCCCCAGGACAGGGCTCTGCTCCCCTGCAACCACAACCTCCCTGCTACTGCAGAGAGAAAGGAGTGGGAGAGGGCGGGAGGCTGGCAGCAACAGCAGGCTTTGCCTCCACTACCTCATACAAAATACTGACTGCAGACGGAGTTCGAAGCTCTGCTTTAGTGAAGTACTAGCATATAAAAAAACCCAACCCAGTATTTACCTAGCTAAGCAGAGCTAGCACAGTACCCAAGGTGATACAAACTTATTTTGAGAACTCAAAGCAAGGATTTCAGAGTCACCTTCTGCCATGTATTGCAGACCACATTTTGACAGGAACAAAATCTGTCCCAGCATTTAAACATTTCTTTTCGAGTACTGATATCATGGATAGTGTGTTTATACAACACGGACTGAGAGAACCGATCCCTGCCCAAACTTGTCTTAAATTACTTAGATTACTGAACTAGAGCACTAAAAAAAAAACCCCAAAAACCACCACCCAAAAAAAAAAAAAAAAACAACAAAAGAAAAACAAAACCCAAAAGAGTCTCTCATTTACCTGTATGGTCTGATAATTTTTTGACCATAACGCAGTGCACCTTCCCAGTCCTGCACGTAGAGACAGACACCCATGGCCTGGTACATCATATGTAACATATAAACATTACTGTCTTCAAACACTGCACTCATCTTGTCCAGGCTGAGTTCACAGATCTCCAGTAATTCACTAGGAGGTATGAAGAAGTCAAGGAACCCAAAAAATAGATGGCTTCTCATTAGACAATTACCTGGTAATGCCAAAGAAGAATTGACTTAAACTTGTTCAGAACGGTTCTGAGAAGTGTTCTTTTCTCTCAAATGGCATTGAAGTATCTATGTTACAACCCCAGAGCTACTCTGAGAGGTATTCTGTACTCACAGGTATTCCGCTCATGAGATTATTCCCCCTCCTACTCAGATACTCTACAAAACTAGCTTTCAGATTCAAAAAGCAACAAAAAAAAGCAGCTTCCCGGAATCACCACCGCACCAGCAATGTGTCAGAAGAAGGGGGAGTGAAATTCCCCCCGCATTGGGTACTGAATCAGCCATGAGATACAGCCTGGGCTGCTTCCGGCACCATGAATCTTGCATTTTTGTCTGCATCGCACCACCGTTACAACAGGTAGGCTTGTGACCGTCAGTAACAGCTGCAGTCTCACGTGCAGTCTCTCAAAACAGGGCAATATTACAGCCGACTCACGCAAGCACACACCTATGCTCGCTCTAGTCTCCGGTTTGTTGTGCAGACAGCCATAGGCTGCACTCTAGAAACTGAGAACGGCACAGGAAGGAACAAACGTAGGGTCCCACATTCCCACACCACCTGCAATGCTAAATTGCCCCTTGTCTCCAGGGACAACTCTTCAGACACAAAGAGGACACAGGCAAGTTTAACTTCTAATGGTCATAGTATTTCTCCTGCAGGTACTTCTGAAGCAATCCAGCAGGTAAGATTTTTAGGTCACACACCAAGCCAGTGGAGTCAGGGTGAGACAAAGGATATATTTGTAGTGTTTGGCTCGTCTGAATTCCTCAATCACGTTCCTGGCATATTTGATCATGTCCCGTACCGTCTCTGCTGATGGAGGATCATTCAGCTTGCGGATTTCCAGTTTCTCTTTATCCTGAAGGAAACACAATGGACATTATAGACGCAGGTTCCAAACCCTACAAATAAAGGTGCACCTGCTACACAAAATTACTCTAATAAAAAGACACAGATGGGAACTTAAGCTCTTCAAAGAATGTAAAAACAAAGGTAGAATGTGCACCTGCAGTTTTTCTCTAAAGCCTTGGCTAGGAATCCTAGAATCCTCTGTGCCTTCCAGTTCATCTGCCATTCTCTACTTCCATGAAGTCCCTTTCTTTTGAAAGATCCAAGAGCTTTTCGATTTTGTGATGAAAGCAGTTTTACACAGGAAATTTCACTGCTTCCGAGAGATTAGGTATTAAAGCAAATTTAGTTTTAAGGCTAGAAAAGACCAAATACCTTAGGCCTACCACCAAGTTATAGCTCAGTGCAAAATGAGACGATATTAAATACAGAAAAGGATCCTTCATATCTACAGACAAAACCACATTTCCACAGATTTTGTTATTTCTGCTGGACAGCTCCACTTACTCTTATCTTTCCGTCTCACTTACTACTTCTTGAAGAGTTAGCTGCAATCTGGAGACAATCTTTTGCTATTTAAGCCTCACATTGTCGCTAGATTTCTTTTTCCTTTATTATTTCACCTGCCAGCTGAGAGGGCTATGGGGGACTCTTTCCAGAGGCTGAGTGACAGGTGATTCCAAAAGTAGCACGGTGTTGGAAATCACAGATGAAATCCTGGCTTCGTTAAATTCGGTGGCAAAATTATAAAGGTAACTGTGGGGAAAAACACAACTACCATATCAACAGAATGGCCTCAAACAAGAATATTGGGTATTATTTGGGAAAAAAGTTACAAAAGATGACACCATTTAGCGGAATGAGATGGTTGTCTGATCAGTTTGGGAAGCAGGTCTTAAAAGGACACCTTTGTGAAAATAGGGGGAAAAGTGATCTGAAACTTAAGGATCAGGTTATGCCAGCCAGACTGATCTTGGCCAGAATGACAGATAAGCCACACAAAGCTCAATTCTCCTAGGACCTCCAGTGAAGGAGGTCCAAATGGCTGCACAGGTACAGTTGTTTCAGTATCTGTTGAGTTTGGGTACCTTCCCCCCACCCCCCATAGTGCTTTTCTTCAAAATAAACTAACACCCTGTTTTAAAGAACACTGTCTGGATGTCTGCCTTTGTTCTCTGAAGGGCACCAGGTGATGTCTATTGAACATACATCTGGCCTGCACATCACAAGGGGCTGTGACCCAAGACCACCTTGTCTGTGAGAAGGCCGACATGACATCATTGCAGGAAAGCCCATTTCGCACATTCTGTTGGGTCTCCAAACCATCCAGCGATGTCATACAACATCACCTAGAAATGACTGAGATGTCTCAGCCGGAAACTGCAGCAGGACTCTATCCCAGAACAGGACCCCAGAAATGCCCCAAGCAAGATTCACTTGCTGGGAGTCAGTAGAAAACATGCAGTTGCAAAAAAATTACTTCTGAGCTAAATTATTTTGGCCAGGTAGCACAGACACAGTACAATTATCTACTTTTAACAAAGTTTTCATCTTTGCTTTGTAGCTCAACTTTAAAGAGGTTTCTACCAGGAAATTTCCTGATGTGTCATGATTACAGTGGAAAGAATGAGTATCAAAGTCTCCTAGCCAGAAAAACAAACCCCCCCCCCCGTATTACCCTACTTTCCAAAACATAATTAAATTAGATCGAATATTACATCTAAGGACCTGGGTAGGTGCCTTGACAGTCAGAAGCATAGTTCACACCGACTTTATTACCTTTTCTTTTGTAATGCACTCCCTACAATCACAATTAAAGAAATACGAGTCTCTTAACCGGTCATTTCTGTCTTCTGTGGGATACAACAGGTCAATATAGCTGGTAAAAACCTGTATGGTAAAAACACAGCAGTCAGTGAAAAGCAGTGTAACTATACATACTTCTCACCACTAGTTCTGGTATATGTAGTATGACAACTACATATTTGTGCAACTTGTGGATCCCTGCAGCCACATCACTGGTCTGTTCCCTCACATTCCCAGCTTCTCGGCAGCATCAGGACTTGCCATTAGTGAATGTAATCTGTCAGAGAAGTGTTTCCTTTCCTATTCATTATGGAATTTCCCTCAAATATTACCCTGGCTTAAACCCAGGACAGCAAGATTCAGGTGTGGATAAGGAAACTATCACAGCATAAATCTCAGGCTCCTGTCAGACTACAAAGAGATGTCTACTTTTCAGAAGTAAAATATGATTTCAGGTATCCACCCTAGGATAAAGTACAGTGGCCTGGTTTTTTGGAGGCTGGAATCTCAAATTTTTCTTTCTGAAAACCTACAAAAATTGGGGCAACAGCAGTCACTAGTAGCTTTAGAAACTTAGGACAAGACCTTTAGATCTCTGAAAAGAAAAGAGGCCCAGTGTTCCAGTTCTAAGAGAATGAATATCAGATTTACTTCAGCAGCAATATTTTAAAGCAAAGAAAACCTGCTTTTGAACATTTTAAAGGCCCTTCACACACACTATTTTCCTCTACTTCAATGGTCTTCAGAAAAGACCCCCTGGAACTAACTTTAGTGCTGTTTTCAAAATGAGATCTCCCCCAAGAAACATGCCATATGCACAGCACAATTGCTAATTTTGCAGACCAAGGAACACTTTTAGTTCCATTTCCTCATTTAAAGTTATTTGAAATGTTTTGCTCAGTCTTTATGCTTAAGGTTTCCCTCTTCTTTAAAGTAAAATGTACATGTAATTTCATACAATACATATTCCTCTTCTTATTCTGTGTGATCTCACACTTTCCTTCACACTCCTCTCCTCCCTTCCCCACTTTCAAAGCACGCAAAATGCAGGAACCGCATTTACAGCAAAAACGTTAAAAATGATGCGATGCGATGGCAACCCTGAGCCTGAAGATGGAGACACAGGCCGTAAGACCGTGCAGAGCCCAAGCAAAACCACGAGCTCACATTTATAAAATACTTTCTCAGAAAAGAGAATGTGCAAAAGCCATGAGGTTCTGGAGAACCGATGCAGCCTCTAAGACAAGCAAGGTAAGTGCTCCACATCTCTACTTCTCACTGTAAGCCCTCCGTGAAAATGCTGAGAATGTCTGGGATTCTACAGTAAAATTCTGAAACCAAGATCAGTCCTTGTCCATTACCACAATGCATTTGCAGTGACCGCCAACATTGCAGGTAAATCATCATTAGTAAATGGCATAAAAAGAAGTTGCTCACCTGAGTCATTCACCCTTGGCTCCAGCAACTAAATTTGTTTTGTTCACAATGGTGGACAGCTACCATCCACAAAAATAACCTCTCCCCCCTTCTTCGAAACTGGTATCACATACTTCAGAAAGCGGTAGGAGTTATGAAGATCAAATCTGAACTTATTTTGATCAGGATTAACCTTGCCTACTAAATTGACAAATGAGCCACTGAAACTCTGTGCAAACTCCATCCCCAGAGAGAATGTTCCATACCTTCACCCCCTGCAGATATTTGAACATCCTCCTCAACTCTACTTAACATCTTTTTTCTTTTTTTAAAAGCAAAAAGCAGCTCTGGTAAACCGAGAGCCTTACTCAATTTCACAGAATTTTATCCATCACTGTTCAGCCTCACTCCACCTAAAAACACACCCTTGTTCTTCTGTCACTTCCCAGCAAACGCCGTGGAGGTGATATGACTAAGTCCCACGTTTTGTGCATGCTCTGTCCAAACAGAAGTCAGGGAACTTATCTGTACCCGTTTACCTTGTTGATTCTGGCTTCAATTTCAATACATTACTATTATACTGGGAACTATTATAGCAGTAATAATTTGCTTTGATCTTGGAATTTCAAAGCACCAGCCAAACATCAGTAAACTCACCCTCATTTTACACAGATGGGTAAATAAGAGACAGAGGCTGGCAGATACACAGTGACTGCTGGAGGTGCCCTTCCCTTGTTTTAGCACAGAATAGGATACTGCCTCTGAGAGCCACTTCAGTCCTCCAGAGCTACCCCAACTTTTCCAAAGCAACATCTTACACTTCTTTGAGAAACAACTATTATTAAATTGTCATCTAATTGAAATGAATCCTGAAAAGCAGAATGGATCCTACTTTTAGGATGCATGCGTACAGAGTACATTCAAACACAGTGCATTTACCTCCTCTCCAGGCTCAATCTCTTTAACAGCTCTGACTTCAGCCAAGGTCCCCTTATAAGTTACAATCACATTTGGGCAACAGCTATGGTTCATCAATGCAACACTGTAAAAGTAGAAAAGTAAACCTTTTCACCCAGAACCACCAAAAGCAACAGGCAAAAAGTTAAGCACCACTTCACGAAACAAGAAAGTCTGAAAGACTCTGTCTCTCTCTGTAAGCTGTTTTTATTCTGAGGCTTAACATGAAGGTAATCTTGGGAAAAATCTGTCATACTGTTATTTATTCTAATGGTATGGAGAATGGCTGTGCTAATGAATCTTTTTAAATCCTATTATTCCAGGACTAGGCAAGTTATTTTCCTATTCTTATAGTGCTACAGGACAGCTGACAGGGGTGTTCACATAGCTTAACTACAAACATCCTGTTTAGGTACCTATAATAAACAGAGTATTTTCCTCAGAGAAGAAAGAAAGAAAAACACATTTAACCTAAAGGAAACAAGCAAACACAGGAAAACAAAAGTCATTTGCTGCATAGCAACTTAAGATGGGCATTACAGTTATAGCTGGCTTCTGTGCAAATGTTAGCAGTCCCCATGTTTGAAGTGGGATGGAAGAGATCTCTCTGTTGTACAAGCACATGACTTACACAAAAACTTGGACTGCTAGAGAGAAGTACTCGCCCTTACTACCAAGCTTGGAGCAAGTGCAACAGGCTGCTGATTTGAGATAAAATGTGTAATTTTAGGTCTTCCTCTTCCAATCTAGCAAAATAAGAATTGTCTCTTCAGTCTTTGTAGCTCACAGCCGTAACTGTTAAGTAGGAAAGATCTGGGTCTTGCATGCTGAGCATTTATAAACAAAGGATGGTGTTGGACATGTTTCCAGAACATCCTGGTTTAATACTCTTCTCTCCCTCTCCCCACCATACTCTGATCCTGGGCATTTCAAGGCCTCAATTTCCAATCTGTAGATCAGGGATAGAGACTTCAGACAGACCTGCCTGAAGAAGGAGAATCTGTGAGGCAAAGACTGTCTACCACCGTCTGCAGGCAGCACTTAGCAAAATCAGGTCCTGCTTTAATTGGGCATCTGTAAGTTTCAGATTACTTTGACATAGATAAATTACCAGTAATCTACGCCTCACAAGGAAGTCAGCCTAAGCAGACAGTGGTAATACTTTCAGTACAGGGTTTGCAAAGAACAGGGGCAGAAAATATCCTCTGTTGCTACAACATTAAGTGGGAAGGACAAACTTAAATGGAAGAAATGTTCCTCAGCCTTAGAGAGCTGTGCTCCCCCGTCCACGATCTGCAGTTAACAACATCCGGAGTTTATTTGTAAAGCTAAGAAGCTTGTAGATATTTTTTCCACTGTCATAGCAAGGAGGCTGAAAGAAGTTATCACAGGGATTTACTGTTTGCCAAGGAACAAAGCTAGAAGGGATGTTGTTCAGCGAACACCAGGTGAAGGATTATATCCAGCCAAAACAGAAAGTTGTGAATAGAGCAAGTCACCTGCAATCCTTCTCATCTCACTTTGATCATTACATGATGCCTCTGTCCAGAACCTGCTAGCCAAGTTAAGTAACTGTTTCCTACCAACCTGCATATAGTTCACAATCTAAGCTTCAAAACAAATTACAAGTGCAGTTTTATCAAAATTAGCAGATTTTTTAAGAAAAACTGCTGCAACTTACTGGCCACATTTTATTAGCTAATTAAAGATAATTAAAACAAGACAAATTAAGTGTTTAATTAAATTTCTTTCAGTAGATATCTACTTCTATACACGTGCAAGAACCTTTGTTTTTAAATAAGTCAGTTTTATTTTTAAAAATATTGAAATCAACCTACTCAGGAAATATGGCTGATCCCAGATGAGAGAGCTCTTCATCTTCAATTGTGAAGCCATTACAGTTAACCTAAGGAAAAAGAGAAAGAGACTAAATCAGCTTCTGGTCAGCTAAGTATTCCACACTCACATAGCACATTCTCATAGCTCAAAGTCAATTGCAGTAATTTGCTTAAAATTTTCTTTCCACCTCACCAGTACTCACAGGGAGCTACACAGCATCTCAAAAAGCAAAGTGAGGACAAATTCCCTATCCAAAGGAATGTGCAGGACACTCGAGAAATGACAGTCCAACACTTGCACCTGCTCAGGGCACAATATCTAGAGGATTGCTCCTTGGAAGGCCAACCAAGAGAAATGGGGCTTGAAAAGAGGGCTAGAAAGTGTCAGAGAAAGCAAGACCATTGCAAACACAAAACAAAGCCTGACACTGCCAGGGCAAAGAGACTTAATTTGGCCATGAAAAAGCCAAAGCAGAACTACACATGCAAGAAGCAACGTGGGGATGAACAGCAGCAAACTCAGCCGGGCTGGGGCAGTACAGAGCTTTGATGGAACATATGTTATGGACACCTGCCACAATGACATCTGTCATCAAGGAATGCACACATCAGCCACAGCTAAAGCACATATAAAGAACAACAAAGGCAGTGAGAAAGACTTGAGCCTAATAAAGACGTAGAACAGGAGGGGACAGAAAAAGGACAGATTAAGAAAGGAAGTGTATTTCTAATTTAAATAGTCACAGGATCAAAAGAGCTTGTTCACAAATCTTTCTTCTAGATTAGATTCAAGCAGGTTTTAAAACCTTCTCCCTCTTTTATTCTCACTACACTCAGTGGAATCTTACTAGAGTTTCTTTAAGTGTGACTTTAAGTGACTAAAATGCCCATCAATCGAGTACTTTACTCCACTTTCACTGCGAGTCACATACATGCCAACACGAAGGGAACTCTCTCCACCTTCACCAACATCTCCCTACAATCAAACATTCACAGAAGTGCCAGTAAAGCACTAAAACAATTACTATCATGTGGCCAAGTCCAGCTGAAGCTACAATGGGCACAGAACAGTCAATCAAACACAGCGTAAGTATTTGTTCTGGAAGGGTAAGAGTTGACAACAAACACTACCAACAATGATAGGCCCCACAAGCTGGAATGTAGCTCTCACTGGATTTTAGAAATACACAAATACTTCCCAAAGCCACTCCTCAGGTATGAACTGTTCAGGATGAGTTGACAATTAAGGAAAGTGTCCTGCTTCTCTTGATTCACTCACCACTATCTTTACTAGATCTTTACCCTGCTATTTTTAGCAAGGTAGCATCCAAAAGCTCCCTGTCTCTCAAAATGAGCATGCTACTACACTAGCCAACGTATGAGCATATCTGAACCAAAACCAAAATGTAATTGCTGAATACAAAAACAACAGAAGGGAAAGATTATATCAACAGCAAGTAAGGACGTAAGGCTACAAAGGCTGACGTGAAGAACAGCCCGATGTTTTTGAATCGCAGGGAAATACCTAAAAATATGTAGTGAGTTATCATCAACTCCCTTCCACTAAGCCAGAGACAACCCACTTCTCGAATGCATCATATGAAAAGTGACACAAGAGGAAGAATTAGAAAGGATGAGATACTACCGGTTTCACTAGATGAATGCATGACTAAAAAAAGGCAACACAGAGAGAGTAAAGAGACAACAGTGGAAAAACTAGAGGTCGAGATTGTTCCCAATGGTGGAAAAGAGAATGTGCAAAGGGAGGCAGGAAATTATGCAAGGTCTTCAAGGAAAGGATGATACGCTGGAACTTGAGATGAGAGAAACCATTTGAAAAGTATGACAAGGTAAGACTGAGGAGGAAGAGCACCAGTCTCGAGAGCTATGTCCCACAGGGACAAAAGAGAGTAGAATGATACCAACAGCTGGGGAAGAGCACAGTGAAAGGCAAGGATGGTTCGAACAAAAATGTTTGCTCCACTCAAAAGGACCAATCACACCTTAGCTGTGTTGAGTAAGAAACATCAGAAAAAGCCCACAAAAAGCAGTGAGCCAGGAGTCAGAGGTATCCTAATCCCAAACGACTGCCCTGAGCCATGGGGAGAAAGAACGTCAAATGGAGGAGCAAAGTAGACAACACGAAGCCAGAGAAAGTGCTGAAGCAAAACAAAGGAGCAGCAGCACATCCATACTATTGGGTTTACGTCAAGTTAACTAATTATTAGGAAACACGTTTGTACAGACATGCCTCCCTTTCTTCTAGAAAGACTTATGTTGGTGCTAAAAACCTCAAAAGGTTGTGTCTTGTAAAACACTTCTGAGGAGCATCCAGATGACCTTTGGAGATTTTAGTCCAAAAAATTGCTATGTCCACACAGTGGCAGACAGTGATGATCAGGGCAAGCTTAAGATGACGCGTAAGGGTGACGTTAAGACATCTACAGAGAAGACCAGATGAAACATCAGATCTGGGCGTCAGCAGTTCAGAGAAGTCAGTTAAAGTACCATGATCTGGCGGAGCTGGGTCAGGACAGGACACAAAGCAAAAGTCATTATAGCCAAAATAACGTAATCTTTGGGAATTCTGGCCACATTCTAACAAAAATATTCAGAAATACCACAAGAAACTGGATGTACTGATATCTCTAAAGTATCCCTCTGAAAATTATAAATCGCAAAGTCTTCAAAACAGAAAAAAATTTTCATTGAAGGGAAATCTATAATTAGAAGCAACACAATGGATGATGAGCAGATGCTAAACAAGCTAAAGAATCACTCCTCCACAGAACCGCACCTCTGTGTTAAGGAAATAGTAATTCTGCCTCCTTGTTGGTAGATGCCCAGCTCTACCAACCAGGGTACTGCCATCTCAGCTTTCATCACAGCAGTCAACATTTGCCCCCAGCTCAAAAAAATTAAACTTTTTACTCAGACATTTAAGTTTAAAACTAGCTTATTTTGAAGTACAGGAGGAAAAAGAAGAAAATAGATCTTTCAGTATTCCACTGGTGTTTTATTCTATCCACTACAATACATTCAATTTAGATTTGTATGAAAAGCAGTTGAGAAAAAATAGAGGTGACACATTTCAGAAGTTATCTAACAAGACATCCTGCCTTTCCTTCATCTCTCCAGATGACCAAACTACCTGACTGGGTTTAAAAGCCACACACCAGATAAAAGTTTCAGACTGCTCTTTCTGCTTCTCTGAAGTTTACTCCCTATGAAGGTCAAACACAACGATGACCCGACCAGCAAGGATTTCCAAATGTTTGAAGCCTGAGTGAAGGATTTTGCCTCTGCAGGGTCTCAGACCAGCAACCTTCCATGTAAGTCCAACAACAGCTGCCCTATGCTTGGCTCACAAGAAGCCTAACTTTGACAGGGTCTAATACAGGCTGTTTCCCCTTTTCTTCAGTGTCTGAGAAGCACCTCATAGAAAGTCTGCAGACAAGAGTCTCTCCCCTCACTACTGAAATGGGGCATGTTCCAACACTTCTGCTCAAGGAAGCGGATCTTCTCCATCAAGACACTCAGCTCCACCTAAGGTAAGTAACGAGTTACCATCTCCATTACCATTAACATTTCTCCCCTTTCACAAAGGCTAAACTCCTACGGCACCATCCACCTCAGCAGGCTGTGTTCTAGCCAACTTACTTGTGCAAAGAGAACTACAAGGGCAGCATTGTCAGGGTACTCCAAGTGCTTTGAGTAAAAGTGATGAAGAGCAGCAATGTCGTTCTGAATCAGCTCTCTCTTTTCATTGTCTAGTTTGTCAAGGTCTGTGGACAAAGAATACATTCCATTTCAGTAACAGGAACACTCCCCCATGAACCGTAGTTAGACTTAGGTTAGACCAGGCCTAAACAGAAACCAGGCTTAAACAGAAACCCCTCAAGGAACAGCTTCTTGGAAGTATTGCAAGGAGTGTCTGTTCTTCCATAAATGTAATGCTGCACGTGCACTACAAGAACATGCAGGATTAAAAAGCATTTTCTAACATCTTTACATTAGCAGGTAATGAGACACAAATTTCTCTTTCTTGAGAGAAGGGTTACGGTCTCTAAAGTGCATTTATCAAGCCTAGCAAACAGACCAGCCAGCCCTGGCTCTCTAGAAGCCTATCTTCCGCTGTGTAACATGACCTTATGAGCTACCTGGTCCCATCCACTGTGGTATGAAGTCACACTCAACATTACACTTCTTAAAACATGCTTTACATAGTTAAATTTCCTTATATGGACCTAATCCTTATCACTACAAACCAGCATAGACTCCTGTTAAGGAAGGCTACTCATCCCTACCTTTAAAAGACGTCATCTTTCCCAGCACAGATACCCTAACTGTTTGTGGCTGCATGTGACAGGGACCTAACAAAGGTCACCAACAACGCTGGGGCTAGTCACCAGGGGTTCCCTTTGCAGCAAGAGGAGCGTAACACAAGGGTGCCCAGGAGTGCAATCCACCCAACCTACTGCAGACACCTGCTTCACGGGGTAACAAACAGTGCCTGAGAATGCCCATGCCTCCCCAGGCTGGGGGGATGACCATCAACAGAGGTGTGTTGAACCTGTAGATATCTGAGGATAACAGGAAACAGCAGGAACATCAGTGGGAATGTCCTGGCACACCTGCCAAGTGTATTCCCTTACGGCTTTGTTCAGAGCTTTACCCTCAGGCCCATGACAGGTTCTAGCCAAAGCTGTGGCCACTGAACCTCTTCCTGCCTAGACTACGCAGAGTAAGCTAGATGATCGACCATACAGTCCTGGTCCCTTCTCCCTCCTCAAATGCAGAGTGCTGGAAAGTTTTTTCCTAATCCTTTCTCTTGCAATGGTAGTGTCACCAGCTCACTCCTGCTCTAAGAGAGCCAGCAACTCATCAGCTTCCCCTCTCCAACTCAAAATAATAGTGGAGAGAAAAACATGCAGGAAGAGAAGAGGCTGCACAACAGTGGAAGAAGGGTGAAAGGATTTGTAAGAACAGATGTGAATGACAGATAGTCACAAAAAATACTGAGGAAAATGAAATAGGACAATTTGATGAGAATTAGGACAAACCAGAAATAAGAAATTCTGAGCTTCCAACTGACAGCCAGGTGCCTTTTCCTCTCCTGCGCAGGGTGTTGCAAAGTGTAAGGCAACTGCTGAACATGGCAAAGGTGTGCTAAGAGATGAGGAGAGTCAACAAGGCAGAAGGAACAGGGGTTCTTACTAACAGCAGAAATAAAACAAGGGCTCCTAGAGGACAAGGGGGACATTGCAATAGAAAAAACATTTCAGCCTTTTAGCTCCTGAATTAATAAATTATTGAAGACTAGCTGCAATGCAGAAGAATATACAGAAATCACTTCAGCACTTACCCATTCTCCTCAACCTCAATCCTGCTAACCTACCTGTAAAAATTATCCTTGCCTTAGGCAAAGTCAAATGTTGGCATTTTTCCCCCTTATTTCCCCAGTTGTCCCAACATCTGTGACAAGAGCTTTTGTTCACGAAGCAAAGATGACTGCAATCTTGCTGTGCTTGGTTACTCTGCTACCTCAAGCCCTAGCAATGAGTGCATTTATTCAGCATTTTATAAAGGGTTTTGGAAGCCAGCAGAGTGAGAAACGTGAATATACAAACCTATTGTCTCCTTGTATATTAGGAGCACCAAGAAAGAAAAAGGACAGACCAGTTAAAACTATGCCAGGATGGTTACGAGTCCCCTCATTACTCAATTTCTAACTCTGCCTCACCAGATGTAAACAGCAGCCTTCCAGTTAAAAGCAAGCCATTGCCTCATCTCCTTCCTTGGATTATTTTGGAGCATTTAGGACACGGAATTTCAACACAATCATATACAACATGTCAGATTTGACTGGCAGTGACAGATACTGAAGCACAGTTCAGAGGATTCTGCAATTAGCCCCTTAGTCACTGTCACCATCAAGCAACTGTGCTGTCTCTGATTTTATGCCTCCTGGTAAAATATACCAGCTATTTTAATTTTACAACACTACAATTCTCAAGACACTAGAGTACCAGAAAAGCCATGAGATGGATGTATGCTACATAATTAATTCTGTCTAGGTTTTCACCCTTGTTTCACAGCCCTCAAGTGACCAAGGGATAAAAGAAAGAAAGAAAGAAGAGTACCACACTTTCAAAAAAAGGAGGAACCACAATTCTCTTTGTTTACTTCCTTCCTCCAACAGGAGTGGGATGTTCTGAAAGGTTTTGATGGAGAGGTGCCGGGGGAAGCAAATCATGAATATAGATAACTGCCTCTGTTTACCTGCAAGCCTTTTTTTACTTACGTGATTCAAACTCTCTTACAGCAAGCAGTTTCTCCGACTGTGTTCTTTCAGGGTGAGTCTTCTAGCAATAAGGGGAAAAAAAAAAAAAAAACAAAAACAAGAAAATATTTTAATGTTTTAAGTTGGCAGCTTTGTCTACTTATTCATAAGGTGGGAACTCCTACCTGTAAGCCAAACCGAAATCCACACTGTATGGAATTTATAGAAGTTGATGAACAGCAATGAGTTAAATTGACTGTCCTTAGTAAAGCCATAGAAAGAAGTATTCTCTCCACACCAAATTGGGCAGTCAAAGATTAACTCCTATCAAATTTATATACATAAACTGAACAGTATTTTAAATATGTCATTTGCTTTGTTCTAGACACCCAGAAAGCTGCTAACAATAGCAAGCAGGCAGGAGACAGGCTTCGCTTTGAGGAAAGTGAATAAACTGACTGTTGACAGAGTTCAAAAGCAATGCTCCATTGTTGGCCTAAGGCCACTTCTTTGTAATCTTGGCCATTAAATATGGCTTTGCAGGTGGCCCAGCAGCTGAGGTTCAGGGACTATGGTTTGCATATTTAGCTTTTATATGACATGTAGGGTTCTCCCCCCTCCCTGTGAGCGATAAAAGCACAAATTTATTCCAATGACTTTTTGTCATTAAACATTCGATTTTGTTTGTGGATCACCACCAAACCACGCTTTAATTAAGTCACACACACACATCTACACACACAGCAAGTACGCAGCTACCTTCCCAGCAGGCCACCAAAATCCTCACTACACACAGTATCCAGGTTGCCCTTGTCACATAAGCAGACCTCAATCACACAAATATGCTTCAAAGAGGATTTGTTTTTGCAGAGAGAGTTTAGAGCTCCACAAAGATACACAGCATAATAACCTTGAAACTCATGAATTCCGTCCTCTCCCTGTAAGCACTTGTGTTATCCTCAGTATCCATATAGTTAGGGAACACTGAAACGGAGGTTGTTGGCATAGCAATCTTATTTTCTTACTAATAATATTCTTTTATTCCAAAGACCAAGGGCCTGAGATTTCTCTCTCAATCTCTTTTTTCACCAGTTCACTCCAATAATCATACACATTTACACCTGAATACCTTAGAGGCATTCTTGCCTCACAAATATACTGCGAATTATATACTACACAATGCTAGGTAGATACAGCTGAAAAATAGTACAAGAGGCAACTGCTTCACAAAGACATCAGTGCCTGCAGACAGATAACACTAGGAGCATTCCTCAGAATTTAGCTACATATAACATTCTTCTTTCTCTTCACCAACATGGCCCTTGGTGCTAGCCCACACATGTAACCAAGAGCTCCAATCTACCAGAATGGAGGCCGAAACACCATGCACATTATGAAACTACCACAAAACTTTTCCAGACTCTGTTCAACAGTGCCTTGGCCATAAGTTATAGCTACACAGCTTACCACCTGAGGGATCTTCAGCAAGTCAACGTATCTTTCTGTACCTCACTAGCCTTTTGCCATCTTCTCCTAAAAGTCTCCAGTTGGACTATGATGGCCCTGACGCTGCTGCAGTGGTCTGATGGTCAGTTCGTTCAGCTGCTCATGCTCTGTATTACACCTGACTGTACACAGGAAGCTAGTATGTTATGTGCTTTGCAGAGACAGTTACTCTTGGTCAATTTTCATTTTCCTGCCTTCCCTGGCACCCAGAGTAGGAACATAGCTCCCAAGTCTAGCCTCCTGCTCACCTGTTTGGCAAGGATCCTCGCTGTTAGCCTCACGGTCTCCGATGGATTCCAGTTCTGCCCAAAAGCGCACATGGCAGAACACTCTAGCTTGTGCATTGGCCAGTCTTCCTTCTGAAAACATAGAAAAATATTGGAAAAAAAAAATAAGCCATGAAGATAAAGTGATGAAAAAGAGGATGCAGCAAGTCCTGCCGGAACCTAGAGGTCAAGTGAAATGTGTTTCCTTTAAAAAAATAAGATGACACTCACTAAATCTGAACAAAAGCTTGAGTCACATTTAAGGGGTACAGCTATCCTGCTTTTTTCAAACAAATTCACAAGGGATGAGTTAAGGTCAGAACATCTTCATTTATTCAACAGAAAAAAAGGATTAAATGACGAAGAAGCAAACAGACAACATAATTTATAAATCACCAGTTCTTATTGTTCAGATCAAGCATGTGAGGACAGAGTACGTCTGAGCTTGATGGCTTTATTGGGTTCATTTCCATTTAATACCTTGGCTCCTCATTATGAGACGACCCTGGTGTAATCAGGAGTAATGCGTCTGAAGTCAATGGATTCACAAACACTGTAAGAATGGGTATATGTAAGGTCAAAACCAGACCTACTGAATAGAATTATCAGATTTTTTCCTTAAATGTCATAGAATAAGAATACAGCTAGGCAATGAAAACACACTAATAAAGACAAACACATTTTAGTTAAGAATGTATAGCGTATTCCTAACTCAACATACAGTAACACACTGAGTGATGGCACAAGCCACTGGCTTTCGGCACTCTACAGATTTCCTCCAAAGCAACAGAATCTTTCAAAGATGAGCAGAATCACAGATCAACACTCTGCACTGGTACAGAGCCTGGCATGGGCTGTCCTCAGACTACATCAAATTTCATTTTATTTCTTTATTCAAACATGAAGCACATATTATATATTCAAGCAATGCACAGTTATTCATTTCTGTATCTCATCCCAGACACACATTTATAGCACTGTGTTAGAACAGACCTATAGTATTCTACCTGTATAAGGAGTATCAAGTTTTGTTTTCAGACCAGACTTAAACTGGTGGAAAACAGTAGCAGAGGAAAGAAATCACAACAAATCCCACAAATTTATAATTGAAAGTGAAAACTTGAAAAACTTTTTGCAGCCTCCAGAAAGTTCTTAATTCCCCTTACTGTCAGATTCATAGACCCTGTGCTAGCCCACTCAAAAAAAAAAATTTAAAGATAATTAAAAAAGATTCAATGTAGCCCATTAGAGTGACTAAGTAGCAGGGAACAGAAGAAACAGAGTTTCTCTCAGCTGCCTAATCACTGATTGCAAGAGCCATCTGAGATACCCCAGGCTGTCTAAAACATCTACGTAGGACCAGTAGATATGATACAGGTCTACTGGGAGATGCATTTCTTGTGGGAGCTACAGCTGGAGGCCACATAGGACAACCCAAGGCACCTCAAACAGCCAGCTGAATCAGGAGCCCCAGTGCTTCCTGCTTTGGCTGGTCCACTCCTTTACAGGTTTTACAGATTAAAACAAAAGCTGAGATCACTAATTTCAGAGTTAGCACACCAAAAATTCTTCCATCAAAAATAGCCATTTTAATTACCCTGGGCATGGAGAGCTTTAGGAGTTTATTTTATTAGGAAAAGAAAGGTGAACACCCACCCCAGCCTCATGCAGGATTTGAAGCCACGCAACACTGCAAGGGTATTCAACGCCTCACAATGTCAACTTCATTGTCCTTGATATCTCAGTACGGCACTTCCAAAAAAACCTACGTACAGGCTGCTTGAAATAAGCTCCAGCATAAACGTTCTAAGAGGATGTGGCAATACAGGACAGGAGAACCAAAATAGTACACTACACTGTAACCATGTCATGTAAAATTACACTCTCAACTCTCCTACAGCTGTCACGCTACAAAACGCATCCCTAGAGAGGCCTGTTTCCTATGTACGCCCCAAGACCTTTTTCTAGAAAATTCCTGATAGCCTTTGCTTAGGAATCCAAAGGCTAAGAAGAGAGACAGAGGGAGACCTCATCTGTCACCCCTTCTTGCACACCTACGACACCCACCAACTTCAGCGTGATTGCTGGGTGTGCAAGAAGCGAAGGCACAGAACCTGAAGTTTTGTAGGACCCGCATCCATACACACCAGTTAAATAACCAGGAGAGATCACCTGATAAAATAAAAAAATCAAAATGCAAAACCACGTGCCAGTCTCAAAGCAGTGTTTTTTAAAAATCCGTTTGTTTCCTTTATTCTTTACACATTGTTAATTAAAATCTTTCCCCAGGCAGAATCATACAGAGTTATATGAACTAGTAGGGAGGTTAAAGGGACAAGATACAGCTGAATTGTGCAAAATCAGATAAAAGCCTGAAACACCACACGAAGAGGGAGTACTGATGACTGGGTAATACCTGGGATGGAAACACTGCGACAGCAGCTTTCCCTGCCATCACAGCAGGACTGTATTTTGCATTCTTTTCCACGTTTTTCTCTAAGTAGTTTGAATTATAACAGGTAGCACCGTTCTAATTGAATCCCCTAATGCTACATTAATGACATTTTCTTCCTATTTTCATTACATCCACAGTATTTTTCCCTTCGTTTAGGAGTGAGTGACAACATTGTTGGAAGGGAAGTTCTTTAAAGTTTATGCTTTTCACATCAAAGCATGGAAACAATCTCCTCCACCAAGTTCTTCAAAATGATTCCACCATCCAGGACTACTGGATTAATTCCCAGAACACTATCATATAGCTCAGAATAAAAAAAAAAAATTAATAACAAAACGCAATACTTAAAAAAATAAGACTCGAGTCCAAACAAACATCCTCACTCCTCCTTCCTCATATGGACTTTTTCAGTAGGATGTAAAATTTCTGCTGTATTTCACCTGACCAAAAAGAAAGACACACAAATACCAGACAGAAATTCTGTGCAAGTCAGCATAGGGGTTAAATCCACTTCTTCAAAAGCTTAAGGTCCAGTTATGCTCAAATGGCATCCAGCTCTTTAATCCAATTTCAGTGAGGCAACTTCTCAGGTCTGATGTTATCCAGAAAAGTTCCTTGATGCAGTCCTTTACCAAGCAGTGAAGGTAAGAGTTTTACACGTCTTCACAGCTATCCTTCCCTACCATCATTTACCGAATGCTGGGCCATAGAGGGTATTTGACTTCCACGGGTTAATGTTCAAAAGGTTCACAAGAGACATTTATCAAAGAAAACTACATTCAAAACTTTTTAGATAGGGGGACAGACACTTTCCTACGCCAATCTTAAGCAGAGTCTTGCAGTGTCAGATTCCTCTTGTGCAGAATCATTGCTGCAAGAATTTCCTATTTTTTCTACAGCTCACCGAAAAGGAGTGGGCAATTTCTACAAGGTCTCATTTAAAACACATCTGCTTGATGCTAACTCCAGGTCTGTAAAACTACATTTTGAGGCTTACTAGCTGTTAAAAACACGTTTCCCTTACTCCAGAAATACCAACTACAGTACTCTTTAACATGACATGTTAAGAAAAACCTGTAAATATTTTGTTCGAAATATACTTGAAATATGGAAAGTCATGACAAAAACATCTCTTTCTGCACTTTGGCTAACTGATCTCCACTCTGTCTGGGATAATAGCTATGCACAATAACAGAAAAAGCAGCTCCAGTAGCTGGTTCAAGTTCACTGGTTCCACAATTGCAACCACGTAACCCTCTTAAAACATTTCTCTTCAGAATGTTTCAGCAGCTAATTTCTGAGGAGAAAAAATGAGCATAGGTCTCCTGCTGTTTGACTAAAATTATTATAATTTAAGAAGTCAAGACCTGAACAGCTGCAGACGGGGTCTGAAAGCCACTACTATAATAACAGGCCTAAGCTTCGAGGAGGCAATAGTAGAGAGCAGAACAGTATGAATCAGCTGGAAATCACAAACCTTTTTTAGAAGAACTGGATTAGGGGTTGGGAAAAGAAAGACGCAGCAAACCCAGGCTAGATCCTACCAACCCACGAAATGTTCAAGGCAGCAAGGACAGGCAGTGAAGACAACTTCCACTCTCACGCACCCTGCATCTGAGACTGAATCTACGCCTATGCAAACATTCAGCTTAATATAGGTCAAACCTAAGGTTATCTATCTTAAAAGCAAAATAGTAGACCAAAACAGGCAAAAGACACATTAGTGCTAAGGGAACTGTGCCAGGGCCAGCATGCGTGCACATGTGTGTGTATAGAGAGAGCCCTGAGCAAATCCGCCACCATATCACTGCTAGACTTTGTCTTCTGTCGGGTTCAGTCCCCCACACGACAGTGTGACACCACCCTTCCCAGTGATCAGAGCAAAGGAATTATATACTGCAGAGCAGGGCATGGTCAATACATCAAACACCTGGCCACACAGCAGGAGATGAGCATGTTGACCACCTGAAGGATCTTCAGAAAGTCAATGTATCTTTCTGTACCCTATTTGCAAAACCAGAAATGCGAAAAAGGCTGCTGTGAGGCTTCATTCATTAAATGCTTGGAAAGTATTTTAAGAACTTCAAAACAAGGATACTATATGGCTCAACAGAGTGGGAAATACATGCAGTGTCACTAACTTTACTTTCAATAACCATATTATTCTGAAAGAGGAAAAAAAAAATTTCCATTCGACACAAACACATTAGAGAGGGGAAGATAACTGCAATTACAAAATCTGCAATTCTGAAAAAGACACTCAAAAACTTTGTTTCCTGCTGCACACTTTGGCACCTTTCTCTTGTGTCCTTCTGATCCAGCTCTCCCTACCACTAGAAAGAATTCCTACGAATTGTGGTATAGCAAGTCCTTAAGCAAGAAAACAGTAAGCTCAAAAAATTTTGTTTTCTATCCCATGTAGTATACTTCATGTGATAAACAGTTGTCAAACTGAATTATATTGAGTAACAAGGTACTAACCAACATAGGAAATCATGCCATGTCCTTGTTGGGTACATGTAATTTTTAGCTGAACTGAGCAAAGAAAACATGGATTTACAGAGAAAATTAACTTAAAATAAAAATCAAATGAACAATGCCATCACAATCCTCAAGTACAGGCCTGGCCTTTTATCACTGTTGCATGAAGAAGTCTCACATCCACGGAGGCAAAAGGGACACATTTACTGTACATCCCAGTGTTACAAGTTCAGTATCAAGGCACAGATGTCCTTTTTGGCTTTGACAAAGAATTGCTGAACTGCTGAAAAGTGCCTTTGAAGACGACAGGGATGAAGATGCAGTACAGATTGTCTGTAGCACGTACAGTCAGTAGAGACCGATTTCTAGAGGATATTATGCTTCAAGGTAACTTTGAAAGAATGTCAAAGAATTCAATCTCAGCAACATTCATAAATTTTATCAGACTGACTCAGAAGGGCCCAAAACATGGAAGATAATGTTATATCAACGACAGAGTCAAAAGTCATATGCGTATCACTAGTAAGAGTGAAGTGCTAGTACCTGTGCTTGTCATACGGCTGTCTGGACATCACAACATCTACAAAAGGCCTTTATATCTAAAGCATCATACTACACATCAACAGGTAGAAAAGATTTTAATTCATTAATTTATCAGACAGGCTTCTGCTGAGCATCATCTCCTGCGGACTTAAGGACATTCAGCTGACAAGGCTAGAAGTCAGGACACTGAGGGAGGGACTTGAAAGTGGGATTTGGAGGTAAAAGCAAAGGACTTGTGGATCAGCAGAACTAAGTTCTACTAATTCCACCATGATATCTACTTGCTGTTTTTCCTGGCACAAATCACTGAGCTTTCCTACTTCGGCAAATCTTGCTTACTTGCGAATTTTATATGGTAAGAGACGAAACTCACAAGCACTAAGCAGCCACTAAATTGCTGTGTTCAAGTATTTCCTTCCCTCATCTCATTAAAAGCTTCCTAAGAAATAATGTCATATGGAAACATTTCTTACAAATAAGCATTTCTCATGAATGAATCACGAGTTTTCTCTACACTGTCTTTAAAACTCATCCAGATTTCTCTCAAGAGCCTTAAGGCTCTTCATACAGTAAGCGCTTCTCTTTCTTCCCAGCAACTGATGGCTGTCAGTCTTTCAATATTCTGTGAACTATTCCAAATTTTGTAAAAAACTTATTTCTTTTAAGTGTTTTGAGTCCTCCCAGTGCTTCAAAACCAAAAGGTCATTTGATTTGACCACGATTCACTATGACACTGTGGGAAAGCAGAAATCTAAGGAGGCAATAGAAGGAAAACTAAGGGGGGACCAAGCTCACTTTGCAACATGCACAACAGGTGAATAAGATACCTCCTTGAAATAAAAGTGGTAGCCATCTCCAAAGTGCTTGGGAACTGAACAGCACAAACTGCAACATCTCTGTCCAGGCAATGACAAAGGAAAATACTTTGCATGCAACCCACGCACTCAACAGCATGCTACCGTGTAGGAGAAGGTTTGGATTATTTATAGTTAAACATAGTTGCATACCAGACCTTTGGTGACTGAAATCCTTCAACGAGCACTGTTCCATACTCTGTGCCCAGCACCACAGATCTTACATAGCTTACATTATTTAGCTAGCAATCCAGTTGAGTTTTTCACACATAACCTGGATAATTCTTTCGTATCAAGTTGACAGCCCACAAAGGCTAGATACTAGTTCTGGCAAAAAAATTTTTTTCAAAGGCACTTATTCTAGTTTGAAGCAAAAATGGAATTTAAACTGCATGCAAATATTTTGTATGTGTTCATATTGCTCTACTTTAGTGTAAGTATAGCTTAGAGGCTTTTAAAAAACTAAGTATACAAAAAGAATAAAAGTTGCCAAAATGAGTGAGTTAGGGAGAAAGCATGGTAGGTTTCAAACGGTTACGACTACTGCCAGCTGTGGCCACCCAAAACATTCTTTAAAAAAAAAAACAACCACACACCACCAAAAACACCTTAAGTTAGCTATTTAGTGATTTGATTTTTCCATTAGACACAGGTTCTCTTACCAGTTTAGTGAGCTAACGTTAAATTATCTGGTTTGTGCTTAAAGAAAGAAGTAATACAGACATAATTAGTGAGCTGACAGGCAGCTCTAATCAAAGTCTCAGTGGTACCAAGCCCTGGAGCTACTGATCTTGAAAGACTCACACAGAACATGTCCAAACCCTGTAATTGTCCAACGCACAACTCCATGGTTAGCATCTGTGGGATGCTGAAACTGACTGGACTACTATTAACCACAGCTACAATCAGAGACTATCAGTGCCACACAAACAAAAAATGGAGTTCAGCAACCTGCGCCCACCTCCCCTCCCGCACCCTCACAAAATGCATTACCATACCTGACATTCCACATTGCAGTAAAAGGCCTGTTTACATCTTCCACACTTGGACAATCCTTCTTTCCTTAAAAAGAAAACAGAATTTATTCTATTCCATAAATCTGAATGAAATAGGAATGTATCCTGTACCATTTTTGCACAGTATTTTGCATTTCACAATGAAAACTGTATTTTCTTCGTAACACTACAGCTACTGCTTGAATCCTGATAGCAGACACTATTTTTATCTGTTTAGAGTTTCAAAAGCAAGTTTTCCCTACCAACTGTTACCATTCAAAAGCAGTCTGCTG